GGTAGAACAACAACCTTACAACTCCTTGAGGTATTGGATTACATCACAGAAGCAGCCGACCTTAATAATGCTATTGACATCATCTACTTTGATTTCCAAAAGGCTTTTGACAAAGTCCCACACAAGCGTCTTCTAATTTAACTAGAATCAATCGGAATTGGTGGCAAAATCCTTAGATGGATAGAATCCTTTCTTAGCCAGAGAAAACAACGAGTTGTTATCAATAATCAAGCCTCGGGGTGGTCTGATGTAGAGAGCGGTGTGCCGGAAGGAAGCGTGATAGGACCGATCCTATTCCTGATTTACATCAGCGACATTCCGGAAGCTGTTGAATTCGTGGTTAAACTATTTGCTGATGATACGAAGTTATACGGTCACAGCGGAACCTTACTAGAATCTAACACCATTCAGAGAGATGTCAACCAACTTGTGAACTGGGCTAATACATGGCAACTACATTTCAACATTGAAAAATGTAAGTCTTTGCATTTCGGCCACAATAACATGAAGAGGAAATATAAGATGGAAATAAACAACCAGTCCATAGAAATTAGTCAAGCTAATACCGAAAAAGATCTAGGAGTAATTTTTCAAAACAGCTTGAAATTTAATGACCACATTGCAACAAATGTAAAAAAAAGCCAACCGCCTTTTGGGATTGATTCGACGGACCTTCACTGAAATAAACAAAGAAATGTTCTTACAGTTATACAAATCTCTAATTCGACCCACTTGGAATACGCTGTGTCAGTATGGTGCCCCATACTTAAGAAGGACGTTAGAGCAGTTGAAAATGTACAATGCAGAGCGACTCAACTAGAGAAGGGACTAAAAAACCTTGATTACCAACAACGCTTGTTAAGTCTTGGCTTGCCCCCGTTAGAATACAGAAGGAAACGTTATGATGTCATCCAAGTCTACAGGATTCTTCAAGGAAAAGATATTGTTGTTAATGAAGAAATGCTAAAAGTAACCACTGAGAAGAGAACAAGAGGGCACAACTTTAAACTAGAAAAGCGTCATTCTAGATTAGACGTACGGAAAAACAATTTCTCAAACAGAGTCATAAACAATTGGAATTCATTACCATACTACGCTGTCAATGCTGAAACCCTGAACCAATTCAAATCTCACCTGAATCAATTTTGGAAAAATGAAAAAACAAAGTTCAACCCATGTTGCTATTAGCACAACTCTTTAATATTATTTAGACCAAACATTTTAAGACAAGATCTAGGTCAAACATGCGCAAACGTATCAATGCTAGAAGTAATAAAGGTGGTCAACCAGGCTTAATAGTAGACCGAAGAAAAGGTATAAAAGGTATTTGGTCTATCACCGCGCTACCGGCAGAAATGTTTGAAGGGGTAGAAGTGACACTTTCCTGCATGTCACCCACAATAAAATCGTCCAGTCTTCCCGGCAAGCGCCTATTTCGATGCGTTGCCATTTCACTTAATTGCTTTAACTAGTAATTATTTCCCATCTTAAACTCCAAGTAGACAAGAAAAATTTTCGGTTTTAGCGGGCGGGAAAAGCCGGAAGTGAGCTTGCGGCGAATAAAGTAACTCAAAAACCGAAGAGCGTCGAATTAATTAGGACTAAGACTAGTAATTATTTCCCCTTATTTCATGATGGACGAATGTAGTGCGAGTTATAAATAGACAATTTTTCCCTCCCCTCTTCCTGCATTTTTGGGTTGACTTAGTGCGAGTTATAAATAGACAATTTTTCCCTTAATTTTTTCTCCCCTCTTCCTGCATTTTTGGGTTGACTTTTTGGTCTAGAATTGGAGAAAGGGGATCAAATTTGCAATTTCATAGCAGTTTTGGGTAATACTGATGATATTACAGCGGAGGGATAGGGGGTGTAAAGTGTCTTTCTGCAGAGCAATCATTGTGTCGGAAGTGAGATTTTCACCCCTGTCAACTTCAAATCCGTGTAGCAAAAAATCTAAATGGTCAACCCCCTACAAAATTATGATGAGGAGATTGCCAAAAGTGTATTATATGTATTATAAATTAGACGTTGGTGATGTTAATTCTATGTACGTATATTTTTACAGGGTTTATTTTAATAAATATTTAAACAACCTCGACTTTTGATTGAATTAGACCCGGTTACAATTATGTTTGGTTGATGCTATATCGTATCTGGCGAAATACCAAAAAGGGGAGGAGCTACCAATAGCTAGCTGAGCAGAAATTCTAACGACAGAAGTACACGCGACGACACAAATAATATATCACGAAAGATCAGGAATTTCAATGCATCAGGTAGGAAGCGTCTTTTGATATCGATAAGTAGGCCTATAATTTATGTTTTGCCAAATTATGCATTGGTCATTGGACGAGAAAGTTCATCAGGATTTTCCGACGTGCTTTCCCTTTGTCAGTGGTGGTGGACGGAGGGCCTGACAAGGACAACTGTCTAGTCTTTCGGAAGGTATGGAAAACCTAGGTCCCGTCTATACATTGGCGTGCACGTTAAGGATCCCTTGGCAGTTGGAATTCGATATAATAGGCTAGTAAGTGTAGGCCTACTGTATAGGCCATAGTGCCGCTGCCCAGGCAAAGTTTCCCTCATTGAAGTCATTGAACACTATAGGATGCACATCTTCATAAGCCCAGTCTGAGAAGAACAGTAGGATGTTAACCCCATTTCATTTCATTTTGCCAAATTACATTTTTCATTAGTCAAAATGTGATTTCCATTTAGTTGCAACTACCAAACTTGTAGTCCAGTCCGTATTGTAAATCTGTCGGCTTTTCGGGCAGAGATCATGGAACAAACTTTATTTTGGAGGTTTCGACATCTAGGCCTGGTAACAGATGTTGACATTTTTTTCTGAGTAGGTCTTCATAAGTAATATGCCATGGTATGGTATGCCGATACGTGAAGGGTGGTCATAAGACGTTAAAGTTAAAAGTCCAACTTATTTTTATTTTCACCCAATTTGTAATGTTATCAAGATATCAACTGTAATTTGGCACTGTATTATTATCGACAGGGGTCATGGATGATGGGTCTAGGGACTAAGGAGTTGATAATGCCATGGGCTTAGCAAGGGAATAAATGTAACAATCTGCATTAAGCAAAATTAGGTTTAGTCTAAATAACATAATGCATCTTTATAAATAAAGCTTCATTTATTTACATTATAATTTTGTTCTATTTTGATTTTTTCTTCGGTTGATGCTCTGATAGTCTATTGAAAAGTCTAATACCAAAGTAGAAATTGGTATGTAAATGGTTTTATCCTTTGACAACAATTTAGCTTACATACTAAAAATAATAAAGTGCCCATTGTTTGTTGCCGGTGTTGACCAAGAAAATTCATCTCGATTTTCCGGCGTGGTTTCCCCTTGTCAGTGAGTGGTGCAGAACATAGGGCCAGGCAAGGACAGCTGCCTAGTCGTTCGGATAGAAAGAATAACCGAGGTCCCCTGTACACATTGGCGTGCATGTAAAAGTTCCCTTGTCAGTTGGAATTGGATATAAGAGTAGGCCTTAGCGCCGCTGTCTAGGCAAAATTTCATTAGCCCAGTCAGAGCAGTACAATAGGACGTTATACCTCTTTTCATTTCTTTTGATATTGGGAGCCCCAAATTCTCAGTGAGTAAAGTGTTGGTTCGCTGACATGGACATCCTGTGTTTGATTCCTGCATTGACTGAGAAAGTTCATGAGGATTTTCCGTGGTGTAAGACGGAGGGCATGGTAGTATAGACATATCGTTCGGATAGCAGAAAACCCCCCAGGTCCTTGTACACATTGGCATGCACATTTAAAAACGCTTGACTGTAAGAGTAGGCCATAGCACCACTGTCCAGAAAAAATTTCCCTTGTAGCTCATTGCATGGCGTTTGCCTGTTTTTATTAGCTCAATTGGAAATTAAAACCTATTTAAGTTTATTTCATATATATAATATTGACAATAACAATTGTTAACATTTTAGGCGTGCAGTCCTTAGAAAAGAAAAGCAGATTTAACATTGTCAACAATAAGGTTTCTAATTACTACCGGGGGATCACGTCGCTAAGTGGGTAAGACGCTAGCTCGCTAGCCTGGAGGTCGGGTGTTTGATCCCTGCATTGGCCGAGAAAGTTCATCCAGATTTTCCGGTGTGGTTCTCCCTTGTCAGTGATGCAGGACGGAGGGGCTGACAAGGAAAGCTGTCTAGTTGTTCGGATGGGACGAAAAACCGAGGTCCCGTGTACACATTGGCGTGCACGTAAAAGATCCCTTGGCAGTTGGAATTCGATATAAAAGTAGGCCGTAGTGCCGCTGTCCGGGCAAAATTTCCCTCATAGCACACTGTATGGCGTATACCCGTCTTCATTAGCCCAGGTTAGGAGCAGAACAGTAGGACGTTAAACTCCATTTCATTTCATTTCATTTCATTTTCTAATTACTACCAATTGATGGTTTCGAATCCCCGGTTGTACGTGACAAGGAGTAGGGTCGCCTGTCCAACCTCGTGGGTTTTCTCAAGGTCCTCCGGTTTCCTCCCACTGCTAAAGACCCCTACGCGCAAGCGAATTATTGAAATAAAATTAAACCATATGTTAGTCCCGAAATGACCTAGTTTGTGTCGAGTGGATGTTAAACCCCATTTCTCTCTCTCTACCAATTGATATAAAGGTGAAATACCTTTAAACCATGGTACACTGTAAATGAAATATAAATGTGATGTAAATGACTGTAAGTATCTAAAGTGAAATACTTTAAATAATGTTATAACTATTTAATGATGTAATCTTTTCCTATTTCAAACCAACAACTTATACTTTTAAGAAATTCAACATGTCTGCCACTTTAAAATAAAGACCAATTCCATAAATATAATAATAAACATACCTGATAAATAAACTGTCACAATACACCAAACCAGTATTGAAGAAGTTTCAATATTTACATTTAGCTGGAACTTATGTACTAATAAATAGCAATACCATATACAATAAACTTTATATAACTAAGGAGAGGAAAAGTGTCTACCTTTGTGTAGCAGGAGGATCGCATGATCGACTCCAGGTCGGGGTTGCACAGAACAGTTGAGACCAGTGAACAACAGTTTATTACAGGACAATATAATATTTTACAGAACAACAAAAACAACACTGAAAAGATACAAAATGATTATTTACACAAGTGAATTATTAAATTACTAATTAATTACTAATTCAGGAGGCAAGTTATAATATAAGTACTATATTATATGTATTAAAATATCAAGACAATCTATTTACATTTAATCTATTATAACAAAGATATAAATATAGATATCAAACTAACATACCCTAAGACAGGTGTTTTCCAGGAAAATAAATGTGACCATAGAGTTGTAAACTTTATAGATAACACAATTAGGAAAACTATAAAACAATTAACAAGCCATTACACAGGGGATACTATATTTAATTAATGTTTATTTATGAAATATAAAGTTACCTAGTTTCTATATATATATATTTTAATTTGCTAATAATTAATTTACTAGTTTAGAATTACTTATATAGTTTAAAATGTCTAGTCCAGTCAAACAAATATTAAACCTACCTTGAAATAAATGATTAATTGTGCTGTAATTAAGTAGAGATGTTGATAGTTGACCAGAAAATAAAAGAGTGAAGTTAGTAACTAGGATAAACAAAGCAGGTTTCTAAGACACTTAAATCTACTCACTATCTTACAATAGCATCTCTAAACTAAAGTAATTATAACTACTGGAAATACAAGGCTAGCTGGATAAACGGGACAATGGAAACTGATTAAAATCTTTAAACAGAATATAACACCCTACTAAAATAGTTAAAGAGAATATACCACCCTACTACACTATATCAAAACTATAGGATGAATGTCTCCAAGGGGACATTCATAGAACAACTCACTTGACAAATAAGAAAGGTTAAAGTTGAAGATGTAGTGAGTGAACTCACTACAAACCAGGTCTAGAGTGGACAGTATAGGATAGATTTAAAGGGATAGTACAACCATTATTAGTTTATGTTAAGTGCAGATTAAAATGACTAAAACCAACTGACTATTTATATTTAAAAATATTACTCTGTCACATACTCCCCCTGCTAACTAAAAATATTGTCCTCAACATTAATCAAAAAATAAAACTTATCACTATTTCGGAAAAATTTGAGGAAAAATTCTCTGGCACAGTGTTGGTAACATCTCCAAAACGATACGTAGTCTGTCTGGTGGCAAAGACATGAAGTCAGCTGGAAGTAACGACCTTGCCAGCTCAGCACGTCCTTGGGAATCCGGAACAAGCTGCCGTTGATGCGCCAGCACATATTCAGCCTGCCAACTTGGTGGTTTTCGTTGTCTCGTAGACCTACGTGGTTCAGGAACAGATGGTATCAATACTGGTGGCAGTGGTTCCTCAAATGATGAATCATCACCGGAAACTGGTGTCACTTGGCCCTCTACTACACCATCTTGAAGGACTTCTTCAAGCTCCGGAACGATAACATCTTCCCTTCCCGTGTCATCAGCTGTGGAGCAAGCCTGAGGCAGGAAGTCTGTCGCATCCACAATATACACAGGTTCTTCATCTTCTTCACTGTCACTGTTCCCTTTATCGTCTTCATTGTTGGTTTTAATTGAAACATTACCTCTGATCTTCCTTGGTTTAGCTACTGGATGTTTCAATGATGCTGTTGGGGGTATGCATTCTGGTATGGAGCTAAATGGTAAAATATGGTTCCTGTGGAGAGCACGTACACGCTTTCCACCATCTTCACTTCTAACCTTGTAGACCGGGATATCAAGATTTGGTTGGCTCAGCACTTTGTAGGCGATGTCTTCCCATTTATCCGAAATCTTGTGTCTTCCCTCTTTGAACGCTAATCGTCGTACCAACACACGATCACCAGGCTATATCTTGATATTTCTGGCTCTGTTGTTATACTGCCGTTGTTGAGTTTCCTGTCCTTTGTTAACTTTCAAGTCATCTACATAGGTGTTATACGATTTACCCTCATTCTGGTATGGAGCTAAATGGTAAAAGATGGTTCCTGTGGAGAGCACGTACACGCTTTCCACCATCTTCACTTCTAACCTTGTAGACCGGGATATCAAGATTTGGTTGGCTCAGCACTTTGTAGGCGATGTCTTCCCATTTATCCGAAATCTTGTGTCTTCCCTCTTTGAACGCTAATCGTCGTACCAACACACGATCACCAGGCTATATCTTGATATTTCTGGCTCTGTTGTTATACTGCCGTTGTTGAGTTTCCTGTCCTTTGTTAACTTTCAAGTCATCTACATAGGTGTTATACGATTTACCCTCATCGTCATTATTGACGAGTCCCAGTATGACATCAATCGCTAGGGTTGGTTTACGGCCAAACATCAGTTCAAAAGGAGAGTATCCGGAAGCTGAATGCCTAGTGGAGTTGTACGCATGTACAAGTGGTGCGACATAGGTCTTCCAATCTCTCTTCTGTTCTGGTTGCAGCGTTCCTAGAATATTGAGTAGTGTTCGGTTGAAACGTTCACACTGTCCATTGCCTTGGGGATGATAGGGTGTGGTTCTTGATTTATCCATACCTGTCAGTTGACACAATTCTTTGATGATCTTTCCTTCGAATTGTTGACCTTGATCACTGCGAATTCTTTGGGGAATGCCGTAGTGAACAATAAATCCATCAAAAAACGCTTTCGCTGTTGTTTTTGCTGTGGTGTTACGTACAGGAAAGGCTTGAACATATCTGGTAAAATGATCTGTAACTACTAAGATGTTGTCTTATCCTCCTTTGAACTCTTCAACGCACACATAGTCCATACACACTAACTCTAATGGTTGACTGGATGTGATGTTCACTAGAGGACATGTTGTTGCTGTTGCCTTTCTCCTAAGACATCTTGGACACTGCTGGATGTATTCTTCAATGTCGGTTGTCATCCTAGGCCAGTAAAATCTGTCTTTTGCCAAACTAACAGTACGATCTCTCCCTTGATGTCCAAGATGATCATGTACTCCTTGGAGTGCTTCACCTCTGTATGCTCTAGGAAGAACAAGCTGCAGCCTCTCTTGATCTGTATACACCGTCCGTCGAAAAAGAGTTCCGGGTCTAAGGACGAAGTGTCCATATTCCCTCTGCAGACCTGCCTCTTCAGGACATGTAGGCTTACGGCTTGGTCTTATATTCTTCCTTATGTCGTTTAAAACAAACTTCAGCAAAGGATCCTCAAGCTGATTTTGTCTCCAAGTCTTGGTGTCAACTATTGGCGAAGTATTCTTGATGGCATTCGGAATCACTTGTTGGGACATACTGATGGAATGAATGTACCCACTGGCAGTTTCGATATCTTTCAATGCTCCTATAATCTCTTCGTTCACCTAAATAAATCTATCTTTTTCCGCGCTGTTGGTATCTCCTAATCTACTTAGGGCATCGGCATCTCCACTTTTCTTGCCAGGTCTGTATTTGATGGAAAAATTGTAGTTGGTAAGTGCAGCTAACCAGCGATGGCCTGTGGCATCTAACTTGGCTGTGGTAAGAACGTAAGTCAACGGGTTGTTATCTGTAAACACAGTAAAGCTGTTGCTGTAAAGATACTGATGTAATTTTTCTGTGACAGCCCACTTTAAAGCCAAAAACTCTAGTTTATGCGCAGGATAGTTCTTCTCAGCTTTAGATAGTCCTCTACTGGCATAACAGATTACTCGTTGCTTATCGTCCTGTTCCTGATAAAGCACAGCTCCTAATCCTTGACCACTAGCATCAGTGTGCACTGTAAATGGTTTGGTAAAATCTGCATATCCTAGTATGTGTGGATTTACTAGGCAACATTTCAGTTTCACAAAGGCTTCTTCTTGTTGTTGCTTCCAGGTCCATTCTCTCACAGAGTTCTTGTTCTGCACCTTTCTTCCACCTTTTGTCTTAGTTGGTCCTCCAACTCCTATCAGCAGATCATTCATGGGTTTGGCTATAGTTGAAAAATCTTTCACAAAACGCCTGTAGTATCCTACAAACCCAAAATATCTCCTCAGCTCCTCCACATTAGTTGGTTTAGGCCAAGACTCCACCTTCTCTGTCTTCTGAGGATCTGTACTTATCCCTTCAGCAGACACAATATGTCCTAAATACCTCACTTGCTCTTGAAAGAACTTGCACTTTTTAGGAGCGAGTTTAATACCATGTTGTCGTAATCTGTTAAAAACCATAGACATACGTTCAAGATGTTCTTCGTAAGTCTTGCTAAATGCGCCATGGAAAACGCATAACTTTTTTTAGCAAATATTTTATTACTAGGTGGTTTTGTATGTATAATATTATGCAATACTATGAACTATTGTTTCACACAATGCTCCCAAACGCAAAAAATATCGGCCCGTGTGCACAACAAAAAAAATTGCACGAAATGCACATGAAAAACCCAATATTCACGTGCAACATTGTGTGTGAGCCCTTTAAAAGCATGTTTTCAACTTAAAGTTCCAACTGTGAAACGTCAATCTGTCCTAATTTGTTGTTGGACGTGTTAAGGAATCGAGTTAGAGATGCCGAGACTTACTGAAAATCAATGGAATGAAGCCATGGGAATGTCCAGGGCTGGCATGTCTACACGTGCTATTGCCAGACACTTCAATTGTCATCAGTCCACTATTGTAAGGTTGGTGGAACGTGTTCGAGTTACTGGATCAACACGTGACCATCAACGTCCTGGTCCACAACGCGTTACAACCCAGGCTCAAGACCGCTACATCCGGGTCACTCATCTGCGTGACAGATTCCGCCCAGCGACTCGAACAGGTGCAGCAGTCGTCGGAAGACAAGGACCAGTAAGTGTCAACACCGTAAGACGTCGTCTAAGAGAAGTAGGACTCCGTGCACGACGACCTTATGTTGGAGCTATCCTCAGGGATCATCACCGTCAGCGGCGTTTGATATGGGCCCAAGGACACCAGACATGGAGAAGAGTAGATTGGCAAAGTGTGCTCTTCAGTGATGAGAGTCGCTTTCATCTTTATCACGCTGATGGCCGTCAACGTGTGTGGAGACGTCTTGGGGAACGTCTTGCAGACTGCTGCGTCCTCGAAACGAATCGATGGGGTGGGGGAAGTGTAATGGTGTGGTGAAGCTTCACATTTCATCCCCGGATCGCCCTACCCATTTGCAGGGGTCGCGTTAATGCTGTAGCCTACCGTGATGATGTCCTGCAACTAATTTTTCTTCCGATGTTTCGAGCGCACCCACAACTTCAGCACTTCCAACAGGATAATGCACGTCTGCATACCGCCCGTTTTAGTATGGACTACCTGGTTGCTAACAACATCAATGTCTTGGACTGGCCAGCCATGTCTCCAGACATGGCACCGATAGAACATGTCTGGGATGAGATTGGACGCCGTCTGTATCGGAGATCACAGATGCACACCATTGCTGCTTTAGAAGCTGCTTTTGTCCAAGAATGGAACAATTTGCCCCAGGCCTTCTTTCAAACATTGGTAAATTCCATGCGACGTCGCTGCACAGCGTGCGTAGGAGCCCGTGGAGGACACACGCGCCACTGACATCTGTGTCGTACTTTTGGTTTTGACCCCTCTGACTTTGTGCCGTTGATTACAGATTAAACTTCCATAAGTGT